ATAAATAAATAAATCTTTTTAAAAAGAGTAATAAAAATAAAAATCAACATATAAATTGAAGCTTGATCTCACTGGTAATGTGCTTCAGATAACTCTAATTAATCCAAACAGTACCATAAAATACACACGCTTTGTTGACAGAGTCATGCTCTATAAAACAGTGCTATCTTCCTAGCTCACATACAGTACCTAACACACTAAGTCATATGAACAATCTATTATATGAAAGATATTTGTTTATGAATAAATGATTAATGTTATCTCAAATTTTTTTGAATGTGCCATGATGATGTACATTTCCAGTATGGCCATTAAAACTCCTTGAAGAGCTGTCATTTAAATATAATTACATAAAATAAGTGGCTATTAGATCAAATAGTAAACACATCTGGGAAAAAACTAAAAACCTTAAATTCCCTTTAATCTGGCATTATCAAATATTTCTTAACAAAAATGAGGTATAGTACTAGACTTTTTATTTCGGATTTTTATTGGTTCTTAATGTGGGTCTACACTGCAGTTATCATTCTTAAGACCATCTTTGCTGTGTCCCATAGAGACTGACAGTTTGCATCTTCATTTTTATTTGCACTTAATGTATTTTTAAATTTTCTCTACTTTTCGCTTACTCAATAGCTATTAAGTAGGACATTATTAAACCTCATTGTTTTCATAATTTTTCCTGCGTTTTTTTAAAGAGTTAATTTCTAGTTTTATGGCATAATGGTTAGAGAGAGGACTTGGTATGATTTTGATCTTTGTAGTTTTTATAAAACATGGGCTTGTATTCTAATATACAGTCAATTCTTCAATATGTTCTACGTACATTAGGAAAAAAATGTGTACGTAACAGTTTGAGGTTTGACTATTCTGTACATATCTACTAGATTTATTTGACTTATTTCTTCATTTAAAGCCACTGCTTCCTTATTCTTTCTTACTGCTCTTCCACAGTTGTTAAGTGAATTATTAAAATCCAACAGTATTATTGTATTCTGTCAATCTCTCTTTAGTTGTAATTGTCTTTAAAAAAAAAATCTATGAACTATTTTAGCACCAACAATCATTTTGTTAAACAATAGAAATTGCAAACCCAAGTCTATCATATACTGCCCACCTTTCTTTGTATTGGGTTAGCAACTGATAAAGTTTTTCTGTTTCTCCACTTTCATACAAGTAGTCCGCTTGCTCCAGGATTTCTTCAACCCTAAAAACTATAAAATAAAAAAGAAATAAGTAGGTCTTCCCGAACCAGATAATAATTCTAACACTTTTTTATGCATGCAAAAGCTACAGAAGTCACCTATAAAGATCAAAAATTCAGAAGAATCTGATTTAAGTACTGTAGAATTACACAAAAGTGACATGGAAAAATTTTAAAATTGGAGAACTTATTCTGACTGAATGTAGACTGAAATGACACATTTAAAGGTGAAAAAAGTGATTTCCTATGAAGAATAAATGGTATACATGCCCTCTACACAGTCTTTGTTACTGCTACTACTAGTATTACAGAAAGTGATATACCTACTTACAACATTGAAACATATTAATTTGCAAACTAAATCATACTTTTTACTAGGTTCTCTTTATGATCTAACTTAAACAAATGTTGTTATGGAAAAAGTCACATAAGTCATCAAAAACTTACAAGAAATTAACAAAGTGGAGAAACAGAATTTTACCTCATTGGTGTTATGCTCCAATTTGTTAACTAATTTATGCATTACTACAAAATACAGTGCAGTGCTATAAAGGCTGACTAGTTATTGAGAGAAAAGTCTGAATGTCAGGATATTCCAATTACTACTAAGGAACAAACACTTGTCTTCTATAACCCTGTTTTACTTTGACATACATATATACAAACATTACAACATGTTTCATTATTTACCTTGGTAAACTCTAATAACTTGCATTAAAAGTTATTTTTTAAGTTTTTGAAAACTTAAAATCTAGATAACCAAAACTCACCAATTTATGACACATTTATACAAAGCAAAATAATTTTTATTAAATAACATCATCGTATTTATACTAGTTTAAGAAGCATTAAATGACAATAGCAAAGAAACACTAAACTTCAATATTTTTGCCCTCAATCATCCTACTATTTCTACCTTGCTAGGTACTACCAAGTTTAATATTTACATGACAGTTTAATGACTCAGCTCCACTTTATTAAATAGTCTATATCTAATCAATGGCTGATTCTCCATGTTTGAGAATTAAAACACAGAGATTAGTAAAGGGAGTTGAGTAGTCACCTCAACCCTCGTGGTAGGCAGAATGTCCACATCTTACTTCTGGAAACCTGTGAAAAAGCTTGGTTAAGTGGCAAAGGGGAATTAAGTTTATAAATGAAATTAGGATGCTATTTACCTAATCTTAAAATAAGAAATTATCTTGGATTGTTAAACAGTCCAGTTAAAAATAACCACAAGTATCCTTAAAAGTGGAAAAGGGGGATAGCTGAAGAAAACGAGGAGATGGCAATGGAACATGGTCAGAGTAAATGACATTGCCTATGAAAATAAAGAGATCTTCAGTCAAGGAATGAGAAAAGCCTCTGGAGCTGGAGGGGGGAAAAAGGGAAAACAGAGTCAAGCCTAGCCCAGTGGAATCCATTTTAGAATTCTGAACTATAAGACTGTGAGAAAATTTGTGTTGTCTTAAAGTCACAAAGTTTGTGATGTTACAACAGTAGCAAAAAACTAATATAATAAATATATGGCATATCTGAATGTATACATAGTACAAAGCAGCAAAATTATATTTAATATTATTCAGATTTTTATGCAACTCCCTTAGATATTATTGTTCTTAATCTATTATACATAGGAATTATACATAGGAGCATTAGCTATGCTTTAAATATTTTTTTTTATTTTAAACACAAATTTCTAAAATTATACAGTGTTCAGTGTATAAGGAAAAAGCACACTTACTCTGATACTACAGACTTAGAGGACTAGGGTTGGAGCGTGTAGGCCACTCATGTATCTGTAAATCGGTTGTATTTTTTAACTCGTTTAAGCTCTGCACTTGTCCTGAAAACATTTTAAAATAAGCTATGTTACTGATGTAAAGAGACCACAGTTTATAAGATGGACTAAACTTTTAAAGTACTTTTTAGTAAGTAATGAATAAATATCGCAAGATGAACTGATTCATTCACCTACAACTGTACTTTGAAATCTTTAGTCTAAAATGTGCAACACTGTAATGATTCTTAGTATGTGTCCCTTGAAATGTCAATGATGTGACATACCAGTTAGTACACTTTAGTCTTCCAGTTTTTCTCACTAAGTATACTCTTAAATGTAAGAGGTAATTGAAAAAGAATGAAATACACTCTGAAACAAAAGAGCTCTATTTCTGAGGTCGGTCTATATAAGATTCAAAGTATAAAATATGCACTATTTTTCAAGCCAGAAAAGAAAAAATACCAGATGGTTTTACTTATCGCAGGAGTATAAAGGACCAGGTGAGAAAAATAATGATGAACAGCTATATACCAGAGACATTTTACAGGAGTGGAGTGAGGAACGGGATCAAAAAGTGGGGGGAAGTGCATTGGACTACGGTGATGGCACATGGGTGATTTAGTAATGGGGAGCCCACAGGGATTACAACTGAGATGGGAAAAGGCATAAAATGATGTAAAAATAAATTATTATTTAATAAAAAGTAAGTTAAAATTAAAATTAAAGAAAAAAATTTTTACATGGACAATTTTCTAGGTATAGCTTTTACACTAAGAATACTATGTCTCAGCATCACTGGAATCACTGCCTCTAAAAATCCCCTGTAATAATACAAAGGAACATGTGAACAACAGTGTGGCACTCAGCTCCTTAGATTCAACAAGAAAGAGAAAATAAAGGTATTAAAAAGAGACAAGAGAAGTGATATATGAAAAACTTTTAAGTGGACACTTAACTTTTATTTTTTTTGACATTTTGCAAATGTACTTTCAATCACACAAAAGTACTACAAGGGCTCTTCCTGGTGGCACAGTGGGTTAAAGCACTGCACTAAGAGTTCTATCCCCAGCAGGAAGCTGATCTACATGGAGTGGCAGACCTCTCCAGACCTGCCAGTTGCTCCCCAACCTGTCTCAGTGAATCCTCTCACCTACCACACCTCTAGCCTGTACCTCAGTTCTGTAACATAAATAAATTTAAAAAAAAAGTACTATGACTATATTAGGTTATAGCTCTTAAAGAGATCCAAATTTTAAAGAAATAATTTTAAAATGAAAATCTATTATACACCTGTGAGAATGGATTACATCAAAATGACTGCTAACATGCAATTTTGAGAAAAAAGGAAAATGAAAGCATGCTCCTTAATTTTTTTCATGTTCCTTAATTTTAAACTATATTATAAGCAACAGCAATTAACAGTATTATATTAGAATAAAAACAGACATAGATATGAATGGAATTGAATCAAGAACCCAGAAATAAATCTATATACATACATATCAACATCTAATTTATGATAATGGAGCCAAAACCATACACTAGAGAAAGGAAAATCTCTTTAACAAAAGATGACAGAAAAGTGAATTGACATCTAACTGAATCAAAGTGGATCACTTTCAGGCCCTCCCAGGTGGCCCAACGGATTAAAGCACAGTACTATTAAGCCAACCAAAGCCACTTCAGCATCAGTTTAATCCCTGGCCAGAGAGATGAACCAGCAGACCTCAATTGTCTTGCCCTCTGCTCCTCTCAGCAGTGTACTTTGTCAATCTGCCCATTCTGTTCCCCACTATGTTTCTGTTGAATCCTTTTGCAGCCATTGCACCTCTGCCCTGCACCCCAGTTCTGCATGCATAAATATATCCCTAAAAAAAAAAAAAGTGGATCACTCCTTAAGTCCACATAAAAATTAATTTAAAATGGATTCCAGACCCCAAATCTTAAAATATATAGAAAACGTAAGTGAATCATTCCATGACATCAATGAAAGAAATGTGCTCAACCCAAATGGCAAGGGAAATAAATTAGAAGTTTTTACACAGTGAAGGAAAATGTCAGCAGACTGAAAAATAGTCTGCTGAATTAGAAAATATAACTATACCACAAGTTATTATATTTCATCAATATCATGTTGGTGTTGGGCCTCCCTGGTGATGGAAAGGTTTAAGTTTCATCACTATGAAGCTATTGGCAGCCACTGCAGCAGAAGTTCAATCCCCAGTCATGGAGGTGACATACATGGCACAGAAAAGACAGCCCCGGCCTGTGTCCGCTAATCCCATCAGCAGTGTATTTCAGTACATCTGCCTGTTCTGCTCCCCACTCTGTCTCAGGTGAATCCTCTCACCTGCCACCCCAGGTCTTGTATGCATGAATAAATTTTTTTTAAAAAAATTTTAAGTAATCAATGGCCCTCCCTGGTGGCGCAGCGGGTTAAAGCACAGCACTGAGAATCTAAAGCCGCTTCCGCATGAGTTTGATTCCCGCCTGCCCCAGAGGTGACCACATGGCGTGGCAGACCTCTCCTGACCCGCCCGCTGCTCCCCTCAGCAGTGTACTTCATCGATCTGCCTGTTCTGCTCCCCACTCTGTCTCTGGTGAAGCCTCTCGCTGCCCCTGAGCCTCTGGCCTGTACCCCAGTTCTGTATGCACAAATAAAAATAAATCTTTAAAAAAAAAAAAATTTTAAGTAATCAATGTTTGAAAAGTACAGCCAACAGCTTTACAAACAAATTATATGACCTTGCCAGTCAACTAGTTTCCAATGTGAGGTCATATTTGTCTTTTTTTTTTTTTTAAAGATTTATTTATCTAAGCAAACAGAAAGGGGGTATAGGACAGAGGTGTGGAGGCAGTGAGAAGGTTCACCAGTGACTGAGTGGAGAGCAGAACAGGAAGATCTCCTGAAATACACTGCTGAGGGGAGCAGCAGGTGGGTCAGGAGAGGGCTGTCATTTCATGTGGGTTACTTCCCTGGTCTAGGGTCAAACTTATGCCAAAGCAGCTGCTGATAGCTTCTCAGTGCTTCACTTTAACCCACTGCACCACCTGGGAGGGCCCCATATTTGTCTTAATAAAGCAAGAGAAAATGAAGACAAGCTAAGTAGTAATGCACTATTTTTATTAACTTTTTAAGAGCTCAAACTGAGTTCTTAAAATTCAGACAAGTTCTAAAATATAAGGAAGTTTTCATTAAAATCTATAATAAAAACAATAAACTTTTCAGAATAAATTGCACCTTGAAATCGATTTTATTGAGTGTTAGGATTGGAATTAACACAGAATTAATTTATGTGTATTTGCAATTTTTATTCACTTACAACATTTTTATGTCATATAAACGAACATAGTATATAAGCCAGACTGAGGGAATTAGTATATACTAAAATAAAAGAATCTATAAAATCATACATTCTTTTAGCCCAAGTGGCAACTATATATATATTTACAAGACCAGCATTTGAACATCAGAGGTATCATAACCATCTTTCACACAGGCACTTAGTAACTATAAAAAGTATAATCCAACATGTGAATATTAAATAAAAAGGCAAGAGGGCTAAATAAAAGACATAAAACACTGTATCTGCTATCCCTTCCTCAATAATTTCAGAATGGCAGCTTTATACAATGTTAAAGCCTGAGCTTGTTTTGAAATTTCCCTAAGATTACCTGCATTCCTTTTCAAATGAATCTCCTATTCAAAAGTTACTTTACTTGCATAAAATTTGCAATACCATTCTTCCCAGAATAGAAGAACACTGATTGATTCCTTAAAGGCTCTCTCTTATGGGAAAAGTGGATACACTCTCCTAAGATTCTTCAAACCCGGTACTGAAAGGCCAAAGGCCCAATGAATATACTTTTTCATATGATCCTTCTCATAGCCACAGGAAATCAATTCTTTTTGGGTATTTTCTTACTACTCAGATTCTTTATCAGTTCCTATATCGGATTTCTGATTCTTGAGAAGGTCCACACAGGTAGACCTTAGTCTCCTTGCTTCCAAGGATCCGTCCATGGCAGCTTAAAGAGTGGATAGCAAGTCATTGTACAATAAAGAAATGGAAATGTACAAAAACAAAAGAAAAAAGAAAATAAATGGAAATGGGCAGTGCTCATGCATTCAACTTCCAAATTATGCAAGCTAAGCAATCCACTGGCTTGGAAATAACTCTCAGCTTGTGACAGGATCTGTAACTGGATTACATTGGAAATCATTACTTTCACAAATGGATACACTTCATTTATCAAGGTATATTTTTTCTTTTCTTGGGTGTGCACCTGCTGTGCACCAGGTAAGAGTCTGCAGGGAAATGGTAATCATTACAGGAAGCATTTGACATTTTCATGGAAAGGCTGCAGTGCTAAAGATCTATAGTCCCACACTTCAGTTTACCTTCATCAACATCCACAAAGGTAAGTTCATCACTCTCAAGATGCTTATAGCACAGGCCACACAAAGCAATTCAATTCCTATAATGGAGATCTCATGATGGCTAATTTTATCTTCTCAAGTTCACACTTGAAAGTGGCCATTTTGGAAAGTGGAGTAAAGAACCAGGAGTGGAATGCAAGTCACATGGAAAGAACAATCATCTCAGGGCAAAGGAATTTTATTCCTATAGTACCTACTCTCTAGTTAGTCACAGAACTCCACAGACCCAGTATATGACTTCTCACTTAGGGGCTCAAGGGAGAAAATCACATGAAAACTCACTGAAGAGGAAAAGGAAGGAAAACAGTTGGCTTGATGCCTTCTCATGCACATCCCACACAAACACACACACCACAACTACAGTGGTGTCAAGGCCTCACAGGGACCTAGGACCTTAACTATAAAAGATTATTTTTAATTTAGTGAAAATGTGTTAATGTGCTGTCATTAAGACATTTATAGAAATTATGCAGTATGAGCAGTAATTTTGGCTTTGCCTTTCAAAGTACTATTATTTTGTTGCTATAGGACACACTAAATCTTTACAATAATTTCTGAAAACTTCTGTAATGAAATGGTGCTAAAGCAAACTAAAATTGTGGTAGACATGAAGAGTCCATATATCTGTTCTAATGCTTCCACTTTAAAAAAAAACTAACTTGGTGAGCTTTTCAAAAAATCATGTTGTTCTAACTACCTTACAGGGTGGTCACTGTGAGACTGAATATTATGGTGAAAGCTTATGGGCTTTAAAAAGCTGAAATGTAGCTACTTTCCAAAATACATGACTGAGTGAGGGATAAAACCAAGTCCTCTGCTGTCTTTCATGAAAATGATAGATCAAAAAGAGATAAAGAATACAGTGGTTCTCAATTATCTGCCTTTTAAAAGAATAGTAGTAAATAAGTAGAGAGAGTAATTTTTAGCTAATTCTCAAATTCATTACCAGAACTTAGTAACTAAAATCAAGTCTCTCCTTCCCCCCATTCACCTTCTCTTTGGTGATAAAAAGTGGGGTTGATGAGAAAAAAATCTTACCCCATAAATTAGTTTTTCTCCAATATACTTAAGATTTGGCTCCATCTACCTATACAACTGCTTAAACTAAACTTAACTGTTAAAATATGGCAAGTCAACCTATGTTTACCAAATTAGAATTATGGACTCTCGGGCCCTCCCTGGTGGCGAGCGGGTTAAAGCACAGCACTGAGAATCTAAAGCCTCTTCCGCAAGAGTTCTATTCCCACCTTCCCCAGAGGTGACCACATGGCATGGCAGACCTCTCCTGGCCCACCCGCTGCTCCCCTCAGCAGTGTGCTTCGTCAATCTGCCTGTTCTGCCCCCTACTCAGTCTCTGGTGAAGCCTCTCACCGCCTCTGAACCTCTGGCCTGTACCCCAGTTCTGTATGCACAAATAAATAAATCTTTAAAAAAAAAAAAAAATTATGGACTCTACGACCTCCCTGGTGGACAACAGGTTAAAATGCAGCACTACATGATAGCCACTACTGCTTCAGTGCAAGTTCAATCCCTGACCCCGGAAGTGACCCGCATGGGGAGGCAGACCTCTTCTGACCCACCCGTTGCTCCCCTCAGCAGTGTACTTTGTCAATCTGCCTATTCTGCCCCCACGCTGTCTCTGGTGAATCCTCTAACCTCCCCTGAACATCTCGCCTATAACCCAGATCTGTATGCATAAATAAATCTAAAAAAAAAAAAAAAAGGAATATGGACTCACACTACTTTTCAATTAGTTATCTGATATATACTAGTAGTAAATTACATTTTGTTTGTAAATAAAATAGTTCTTTTTCAAATTACTTGGACTTTCTTAACCAAACCAAAAAATCTATAATCCAGTATTAAAGAAACAAAATAAATCACTATATCATAGAGATCAACTTTCTATAAAAACCCATAGTATAAATATAAGGATTTATGGGCCAGAAATAGTCTCTGTGGTGTATTCGTTTATTCCCTCCACCCAACAGCCCCTTAAAAAATTTTTAAAAAATTCTTACCCCACAAGTCTTATAAACTGATCAATGGAGTATTTCTCATGGAAGTTCTAGTTGCTATTACACATGTATTGTGTGTATCTGTGTCTACCAGACAAGTAGAGAAAAGTAAAACATATTGTAGCCTACTAGCCTGTAACAATGGCTAGACTAGTTTACCAGAAGTAATTCATTATTAAAAATAAGTAAGTTATGGGCCCTCCCTGGTGGCGCAGCAGGTTAAAGCACTGCTCTATGAAACTTAAGCCACTTATGCAAGAGTTCGATCCTGCCTGCCCCGGAGGAGCTCCACATGGCGTGGCAGATCTCTCCTGACCTGCCCGCTGCTCAGTGTACTTTGTCAATCTGTCTGTTCTGCTCCCCACTATGTCCCTGGTGAATCCACTCACCTTGTACATCTCTGGCCTGTACCCCAGTTCTGTATGAATAAGTAAATCTTTAAAAAAAAATAATAAGTAAGTTATAACAAACATGACTAAATTTTTACGATGTTTAACAGTTCAGGTTTACCTTTGGCTGTTGCATGAACCACAGCAGACTGAGAAATGAGTTGATAAGTTCCAAAACCCACATAAGATATGGCTGAGAATAAAAGACTTCTTTTAAAAGCACTTGGGTTTCCCATCACCTACAGAAACAATTATGATTGGTTAACAAAACTTAGATATTGGAAAGAACTACTCCAAGTCAAAAAGATCAGTATTCTTTCATCCCAAAGCTATCAGTAATAGACAGGAATATCGGAAGCTCAAAATTACTTCACAAAATTCTTCATGGAAGAACACAGTCTTAAAATTCTTAAAAAAATTGGTAATGGTGGTCCTCCCTGGTGGTGCAACCTATTAGGACGCAGCACTTCAAGCTAGTGACAGCTGCTTCAGCGCGAGTTCAATTCCCAGCCCCAGAGGTGATCCAAAGGGTGCAGCAGACCTCTCCTATCTCGCCTGCTGCTCCCCACAGCAGTGTACTTCATCAATATGCCTATTCTGCCCCCACTCTGTCACTGGTGAATCCTCTTACTGCCCTTGCACCTCTGGTTTGTACCCCAGTCTGTATACATACACAATTTTTTTTTTAATGGTGATGGCTAACAGTAAGTGGTGGCTTATCACTTTTAAAAAATCACAATGAGTTAAGTGGTTGCCTATCTACATGTGGTATAGACACTGATAAGTGACAGATTAGAAATCTACATTTTATTTGAGAAGGCATGTATATCCTAATTGTATGAACTAAAATGAGATACCAATAAGAAGTAAAAATAAATCTTTGTGAAGATCAAATGTGGTCAGTACTAAACATAAAACATGTACATGGTTTTAGGTAAAGATTATCTTCAAAAGTGGCACATGTAACTCATAGTTCATAAAGAATAAAGAGAATATTTAAATGGATTTAGAAATTAATTTTCATTATGTCCAGAGTCTCAGATGAGTGGCAAAGAATAAATGAATTAAGCTTCAGCAATTTTTCACTTTCTCTTATAACGTATTTTTCCCAGCCCTCTCTGGTGGAACAACTGATTAAAGTATATCACTATGCAGCTATTGGAAGCCAATGTAGTATCAGTTTAATTCCTGGCCAGGGAGGTGACCAACATGGAGTGGCAGAACTCTCCTGACCTGCCCGCTGTTCCCCTCAGCCGTGTATTTCAACCAATCTGCCTGTTCTGTTCCCTACTCTGTCTTTGGTGAATCCCTTCACCCTCCCCCACACATATTTCTGGCCTATACCCTAGTTCTTCTTTGCATAAATAGATAAATCTTTTTAAAAAAGTTTTCCCTTTCATATAGTGTCATTTTTCTCCCTTTCTGTTGATTCATTCCCATCAATATAAAAACTATCTTTATAAGCTGTGATATTCCCTTTCAAAGAAACCTGGATTTGCCCTTCATCAATCAAAAAAGGCTTCACCTGACATCACAACTCCCATTAGTCACATTTCTCAACTTTTCAGTAGACATTTTTTATTTATATATATTTAAATACAGCTAAAATCAAGCACAAATTTTTGTTAAACAAAAGCAACAGCCTCTTTCTTAAGTATGTCTTTGCTTCAACAGTGATTATACTACATTTGGAGTTAGCAAGACTTAAAAACTATAAGCCGACCACTAGATGGAAAGAATGTGTTACCATCATCTCCTGTTTTGCCTCCTAACTGCCAGCTCCTCTCTTAAAGGTTAGACTTCCTTTATGACAGAGATCTGGTTATTGACTTGCCTATTAAATACTTTCTACCTCTTCCATGTCATCATTTACACCTGTATGCTGAGGCCTCCTGAACCTATTAACTCTGGCTGAGATATCAAAGTTAAACATTATTTTTTAAACTACTGTCTATTCCACATGTCAAGATGGCAATCTATTTCTTCACATTTGACTAATTTAGTTCAATACATCTTACCCTTTCCCCAAATCTTTTTCTGTAGTTCTAAGCCTAGTCAATAGCACCACGGTTCATCTTACTGTTCTAGCCAGAAACCTGAGAATCTTCAACTCCCACATCAAAGGAATCTTTTAGGTATGACAATTTTATATGCCTAATATCCCTTAAATGCATCAACTTACTTCCATTTCCATAACTATCATTAAAGTTCAAACCATATTTCTCAACTGTTCTTTATAGCAATGGGCCTCTTATCTGATCTCCATCTCCCACTCTGCCATAGCCATTATTGACATTATTTATTTCTAAGTGCAAATGTAATCACATGAATCCCGTTTAAAACTATTTCATGATTTTCTATAATGTGTAGAATAAAATCAGAAATACTTAACAATTTTAACAAGGTTTTTAGAATGTGGTTGTGACAAACAGCCTCTAAAATGGTCCCAATGATCCCCTCTTTCTGATACTCCCTCCCTTGTGTAATCCTTTCCCCTTAAATGTAGACTAGTCTTAGGGACTCCCTGCTAAGGCACAGGAAACTCCAAGTGAAGGGATGTTACTTCCATGATTAGGTTATAAAATGAATGTAACTTTGAAATTCTCTTGTATGTTCTCTTTGATTTGCTTGCCTGCCTTGGATGAATTTAGCTACTGTTATGAGGCAGCAGGAGAAGCCCTCCTGGTAAGTAACAAAATTTGGCTTACAGCCACAGGAGTGAACTTAAAAAAATAACTAATAAACTGTTACTTGCCTGACTTTTCAGCCTTTGCTTATTTCAGTGTATTCTTCCATTCCAGATTTAGGATATTCTTTCAGTTGCTAAAAATACTATTTTTTTTTTTTTTTACCTCAGTGTTTACATCATCTCTCTACTGTAATATTCTTTTATCCTTATACACCCCTTTACCTAGTTATCACTTTTTAGATCTCATATCTTAATTGTTCACACCTTTTCCTTCCCATCCCTTCTTCAGGTTAAGAGTATTTTGCTTCTCTTTTCCTAACATGGCGTTCATTCTCTCATGTAGATGATATCCCCAGCGCTTAGAACAGAAACTTCATACAAGTACAAATGCGTTGGAAAATAAATGTTCTAATACAGATGTTTCATAACATAGATCACAAATTATAAAAGAAGGGCGAAATCTGCTTCAGCCACTCAAAAGTAGCCCCCCCTGTCTGGAAATGTGGAAAATAAAACACCTCCAATTCAACTTAATTGACATTAGACTGAGTAAAGTCTAGAAAAATTTAAATTCAGTAACATTCTAATTTGGAAATCTGATAATGCTACTTAGTTTTACAATACTCGCACACCTTTGCCTGTGTCAGCCAACACCTCGTTTGGATATAAACTAGAGTAAAGTGATTACATCTGTTCATCTCCTCTTTTTTTCCCCCTCATCACAAACCCTACTAACAATTTCGAAGATAACAGGCAGTCCAAAATGTGAGATTAAAATAAACACTTAGTTCAAATGAACTATCAAATACACTAATGACCACTCTCACCACCACATCACATCACCTTGCAGAGATAAATCAAGATTACGAACAAACAACCTAATTAGGAACCCAACTGGGATTACCATCCCACATGCGGACATCCTCAGAGGAATAAACTACTCAATTTTTTAAATCCTACTTGGTTCGAAATCTGTTTCCTATGTTCCAACATAGGATTTTTCAAAACCACATCCGAATTCTCAAAGTTTAGCGAACTGACAACCTCTACTAACGACACTATTAATCCGTATCTGGCAACTCCAAAAGTGAAAATTATTTCAAAGAGGTCAAGGTTTCCCCTACATTTAATGTAACTGTTTTCACACAGGAAGGGGAAAGTTTTTCTGAGGAGGAGGAATGGGCGGGACTTACTGCTCTAGTGACCCCAGTTTTCAAAACGAAAGGAGGCTTGCGAAAGGAAGGGGACCATGTGGATGGTGCTCCCTAGAAGCGCTCCAGGCACTAAGACCCGAGTTCCAGCCTCAGCTCACCACACTCCCTAGGGTAACACTGGGCAGTCCAGCCTGGAGGAGAAGGGGGAAGCCCGAACGCTGTGCGGTAGAAGGAAGTGGGAGCGGGAAGTACCTCAAAGCCACGGAGAAGCCAAGCACCGCTTCGCCCAAGGCTGCCAGCAGCATCCGACGGGAGCCGAGGTCCCCGGACGGCAGGAAATCCCAAATGCAGCAAGCGCGAAAGTCGCGCGCCGAAGGCCATGACTCACAACTCTCCCGCCGACCCTTCAACCTTCGGAACGCCCGGAGGAGCGCAGGCAGTCAGCGCCCGGCCCTTCCGCACAGAACAGCGTCTGCGCCCGCCCCCTGGCCGACACTTCCGCTCCAGCGCTTCCGGTCCGCGGGATGTAGGCGTGGGAAATACCGGGATTGGCTGGGCTTTAGTCTCCTTCCGCGTCTGCGCCCAGTGAAGGGAGCGCTGAGTGGATTCCCTTGTGGCCACTGGCTGACTTCTGCTCTTATTCTCTGGGAATCTATTATGGTGTCAATACAGGGGCGTCCCAGAATAGAATTGAATGCTCGAAAATAGACCCTAAATTTGAGCATGCAAGAAAAAATGATTGGGCCTTTCTGGTGGCACAAAGGGACTAAGTTTCTGCCGCCATCCTCAGCTATTGCTGCATGAGTTTGAGCCCAGCCAGGGTGCTAATCCGTATAAAGCTGCAGCCTTCTCCCACTGGCCAGCTGCGCCTCTCAGCAGTGTATTTCAGTCAAGCTACCTGTTTGCTCCCCACCCTGTCTGTAGTGAATCCTCTCATCCAGGTTCCTTGCCCCACCCAAAGGAGGGTGGAGCTGAGCTGGGAGGAGAAAAACCTAGAGAGGAGACTAAAGAGGAAGGAAGCAGGATGAAGAGCTGGAAGGAAACCCGAGGGAGGACATGGAGCAGAGAGACATGTGAAGAAGCTTCCTTCTGTTTCTTGGTCTGGACTGGCTGCAACAGATGTGGACAAGATACCCAAAGGAGGTTAATAACAGCAGCATTTGTCTTGATTTCGATTTTGTTCTTTTCCTCTGTTTTGTCTCAACTTCTGTGACTGGCTGCAAGAAAGAAAGACGGGAGGCAGAAAGGCTGAACAATTTATTGCTCTCGGAGAGCAGCTGAGACAGTGCCCTGTGTAGGGTCCGCAGCTACTGCCACCCCTATGGGGGGAAGGGTCTCTTATATAGATTTTAAACTCAAATTCCAAAGGGGTGACTGATCACTATGTCCCTTGATGTGAGGCCCAGTTCCTTATCACCTTTATCTAGTCCCATCACAGATGCAAGACCCTGTTAATTGGATGCAAGTCCCAATTTATTACTGCCTTATCACCTTTGGATGCAAGGCCTGATTTATTACTGCCCTCATTCCAGTCCCTCAATAAATCTCCGCATTTGGTCACTCCCAACACCCTCCCAGACTTATCTGGCCATTTCCGACCCATTTTCATGGGTCCCTGCTGGAAAAGTGCTTTAGACTTGTGGCGGACTTTCAGGCCTTGCATTAGGCCAGTCCCTTTTGGGTGGACTTTTACCCACGAGGGGATGGGTAACTTTGGGTGTTTGATTTAGAAACTATATTTGTTGTCTTTTCTGTATTGTGCACTAATTGCATTGTAGTTCCTTTCCATTAAAGGTCTTATATGTTTTGTCTTGATGGGGACGAATGGCAGAACCTGTTTAGAATAGGCAGGTTTGGGGTTCAGGGGTGTCCCTCCCCCTGCCCTGTAACATAGTGAGCCTCAGATCCTCCTTCCTGATGATACTTGCTTTCAGGATTCCTTCCCTTTCAACTCTTTTGGCACCCTCCCCGGTTCACCACCCACTCCACTATAGATTATCTGTTACATAGAGTTAAAAAGAATTGATAATGTATATCCCTGCTATACTGTAATATTAAGACTATTTCTGATTTTTGTCTATAATTGCCTGGCACAATTAATTTATTCATTCAACAAACATTTGTTGCATATCTATGATTTGCCTGATACTCTTTTAGATGCAGTAAGCAGAACAATTCCTAGATGAATGTATATTCTAATTTAGGAAAGATAGTCAGCAAACAAGATAAGTAAAAGAATAGAGATGGTAAATGCTAAAGGGGAAAATAAAGCAGGAAATGGCATACAGTGGATTTCTGTTCAGGCACTTCAGTTTTAAATAGGGTGATTGCCAGAGAACACATCACTAAGGAGGCTATTTGAATACACATCCAAGGAAAAGAGGCTTTAGAGTGTCTTATGGGGTCAAGCACAACATGCAGAGGGAAAAGAGCATGAGATGGCCTGAACAGGGAAAGCAAAGGGCATCTTTCTTGAAAAGGTAAGTCCATGTGATGGAATATAATGAACAAAGAAGAGACAATGAAGAAATGAGATCAGAGAGGACATGTAGACCTGTAACTGGGTGGTCCCTAGGAGAAGGGAAGTTCCAGGTTCCCTGCCCCACCCAGAAGGAGGGTGGAACTGAGAAGAGAAAAAGGAGAGAGAAGAGAGAAGGAGGCCAGATGGAGAAAAAGACAGAGACACGAGGAAGCCACATGGAGCAGCAAGCATGTGATGAAGAAACCGGGCTTGTTTCCTGACCCTGGACTGGTTAAGGCAGATGTGGGTGAGATACCTGTAGGGAGGTGAACATGGCAGTGTTTATATTGATTTTGATTTTGCTCTTTTCCTCTCAGATTTATCTGGCCATTTCTGACCCTTTTCCATGGGTCCCTGCCAGAAGGTGCTTTAGTCTTGTGGCAGGCTTTCAGGCCTTGCTTTGGGCCAATCCCTTTTGGGTTGACTTTTGCCCACGAGGGAATGGGTAACTTCCGGTGTTTGATTTAGAAGTTATATTCTTTGTGTTCCATATTGTATATTCACTGTATTAAAGTCACTTTTCATTAAAGCTTTATATGTTTTGTCTTGTTGCGGCGGATGGCAGAACCCACTTAGAGCAGGCAGGTTTTGGGGCTTCAGGGGTGCCTCCCTCTGAATTAAGGTGCCCTATAACAGACCTACAAATGCAGAACCTTGCAGGCAGCTGTAAAAATTTTAACTTTTTCCCTTCGTATGACATTATCTAACTTAATTTTAATAGATCCTTTTGATCATCTTTAGAATGAAGAGGCGCATGTAGGGAAGAAGTTACTAATGAATTACAGTAATTTAGAAAGAAATTATTGTAAGATGAGTGCACAAAATCTGGTTAATTTTTTTTTAATTTTTTTAAAGATGTATTTATTTATGCTTACAGAACTGGGGTGCAGGCCAGAGGTGCAGGGGTAGTGAGAGGATTCACCAGAGATAGTGTGGGGAGCAGAACATGTAGACAGACAAAGTACAATGCTGAGGGGAGCAGTGCGCTAGATAGGAGAGGTCTGCCATGCCAGAATCTGGTTAGATTTTGAAGGTAGATTTGACAGAATTAGCTAACAGACCAGACAACATGGTGATGGGCATAAGAGAAAAGAGTCAACATGACTCCAAGACTACAAAGTATTTGATCCAAAATTCTTTTTTTTTGCCCTCTCTTGAGATAGAGAGTGGGAGGGATACCTATGAAGGAAGATAGGGAAGTTGCATCTGTATATGCTAAGTTTCAAATGCTTATTATGTAACAGGGTAGTCCCTAGGAAAAGGGGAAGTTTCAGGTTCCCTGCCCCACCCAGAAGGAGGGTGGAGCTGAGCAGAGAAGAAAAGAGAAGGAATCAGAAAAGAAGAGAAGGAAGCTGGATGGAGAACAAGAAGGAGACTTGAAGAAGCCACATGGAGCAGCAAGCATGTGATGAAGAAACCGGGCTTATTTCCTGACCCTGGACTGGTTAAGGCAGATGTGGGTGAGATACCTGTAGAGAGGTGACTATGGCAGTGTTTATTTTTATTTTGATTTTGCTCCCAGACTTGTCTGGCCATTTCTGACCCTTTTCCATGGGTCCCGGCCAGAAGATGCTTTTGGCTTGTGGAGGACTTTCAGGCCTTGCTTTGGGCCAATCCCTTTTGGGTTGACTTTTGCCCACGAGGGGATGGGAAACTTCAGGTGTTTGATTTAGAAGTTATATTCTTTGTGTCCGTATTGTATATTCACTGTATTAAAGTCCCTTTTCATTAAAGTTTTATATGTTTTGTCTTGTTGCGGCGGATGGCAGAACCTACTTAGAGCAGACAGGTTTGGGGCTTCAGTGGTGCTCTCCCCCTGCTCTATAACAATTAGACGTTTATTGTGGCCAGCCTCCGAAAAGGCACCCAATAATCTTTACTTTGGGGATATCATTTAATGAAGTTGAAAACTAGGCCCCTAGCCATTGCCCAGAAGGAAGGTTTGGAAGTCCTGAATAAAGGGAAATGATTAGGTTGCTATAGGAACCAGTTGATAATACTGATTGATCTTTTTGAATACAAATGTGGAAGCAGGAAGCAGCATCAGGACTCATTCTACCTCAAAGGTGGGTGCCCAAGACCATATATTCCAGCACTAACTAACCTAAACTACTTGAAAAGCCTGTGAAAATTATAAAAGAGAGCAGCAAAGGACCTATCCTGTCTCTCCTGCTGCTTCTCTGTGCAGTGTATTTCAATAAATCTGCCTTTTCTGTTCTGTACTAGGTATCTGATAAAATCTGTCACCCTCTCACCTCTGGCCTACCCACAATTCTTCCCTACAACACTTACCTCAAGGATTTACCCCTTTGTGGAATCTCCTTTCACATTAAATCAAGACTGGCCTATTTCACCAATAGAAAACTGCCAAGATGTTGGTATGCAACTTCTGAGGCTAATTCATAAAAGTCATTGAACTTACTGTCTTGATCTCTTGGATTGTTTGCCCTATAATGTAGCCATCAGTTGTGCCACCCTATAAAGAGGGCCACATGCAGAGGAACTGAGGTCTACCAACAACACCCACATTCATATGTAAGTAAGCTGTCCTGGAAGTATATTGTCCAGCCTGGTGAAGTGACTTCAACCCTGCCTACTACCTGACTGTAACAACTTGGAAGATGATGAGTCAGAATTGCTCAGCTAAGCCATTCCTAAATCCTAAATCATAGAAGTTATGAGTGATAATAGACAATTTCTGGTTTAAGTGACTACAATTGTTGAATCTGTTGTGGAGTAGCAGACATCCAAGTATTATAGGAAACGAAATCTGAAGTTTCAGTGTTTGAAAGCTTAGTAGCCTTCAGAATATAGATGGATTTCAAAGCTATAAGACCAGTTGAACAGTAACTTAGAATGTGATTAAAGGTACAAGAACTATGTGTTGGGGGTTTTCCAGTATTTAAAAGCTGGGAATATGATTATCAAAAGACAAAGAGATGAAGGAGACCAGTGAGGTTGAAAATATGGAAGAACATTGTTTAATATTAGAAGTGTTTGTCTCACACATTTTAACATACATTTAAATGTCTACCTGATGTGTCACACTCTTATTTGTTCTTTTATTTCTAGAATTTCATTATGTCTGATACATAATATACATTTATTAAATGTTGGATAGTTGGGCCAATGAAAAAGAAGAAAGTAGAATAGAAGTTAGACTCTAGTTTATGGAGAAAATTAATGAAGTATATTGAATATCTATAGCACTACATATACAACTGGTCTTCAAATAATTATGTTTCCTTCAAAAATATTCTTTTTAGGACCCTCCCTGGTGGCACAGTGGGTTAAAGCACAAAACTAAGAAGCCAAAGCTACTTAAGCATGAGTTAGATCCCCACCCCAGAGGTGACCCATATGGCGCAGCAGACTTCTCCAGACCTGCCTGCTGTTCCCCTCAGCAGTGTGATTCATTGATCTCCCTATTCTGCTCCCCCTTCTGTCTCTGGGAAAGGCTCTCACTGCCCCTGTACCACTGGCCTGTACCCCAGTTCTGTATGCTTAAATAAATAAATCTTTTTTTTTTAAAGATTTATTTATTTATTTGTACAGAACTGGGGTACAGGCCAGAGATGCTGAGGGTGACAGGATTCACCAGAGACAGAGCGGGGAGCAGAACAGGCAGATCAACCAAGTACACTGCTGAGGGGAGCAGAGGGCCGGTCAGGAGAGGTCTGCCGGGCCATGTAGTCACCTCCGGGGCAGGCGGGGATTGAACTCATGCGGAAGTGGCTTTAGCTTCTCAATGCAGTGCTTTAACCCGCTGCGCCACCAGGGAGGGCCTAAATAAATCTTTTTTTAAAAACATTATTTTAAAATATTGATGAAGAGAAACAAAGCCGACTCCTACCTGGGGAGTGTGTGCAGTTTGCACATTCTTCCTACATCTGAGTGAGTAATTTTCCAGTTCTCTATTTTCCTCCCACATCCAAAGATGTATATACATTATGTTTAAATTGCCCCAGTCTGAGTGAATGAGTGTGGGGCTCTGAGTGCATCAGGGATGGAAAGTTTCCCTCCCAGCACCTCAAATTGTGTGGGGCTGGCTCCAGCCATTTGGAACTGAGAACAAGGTTAAGTTGGTTAGGAAGTGAATGAATGATTGAATACAAATGATTGTTTAATATTAGAAGTGTTTGGTGTCTTTGTTTAGAAGTTTGATGATTTTTTTTTTTTAATCAACGAAAATATACTGGGGGAATCAAATCTTTGTATTTAGTCTATGGTAAAATATTTTTTTGTTTTATATTTTACTTAAAGTCAAAGTTTCCAAGAACCTCTCCAGGTGTTAAGTGAGGACTTGTTGTACGTAAGTGAGAGAATGCTTACTGTGTACCAAAAGTATAAAGCCATCTCCTCGCTGCTCTACCTGCTTCACATTTTTGTGGAGACAAAGATCGTGAAGGTTAGGTATGGATATTATGTATTCTGAAAAATTTTGAAACTTGCAATTAAATTAGTGGTGTCTGAAGGCTTTCACTTAGTTGTAGAAGCAGAATAAAAATTGTTTTTAATCAACTTTTAGTAAAATCAGAAATGAAACACTTCTCAGTTTCCACTGTATTCCTTCCACAAAGACCTTATTTCTGTGCCTGCAATTTGCCAAATCCGTTCCTACTTTGCTTCTGCTATCATTTCTTAGCCCCCAGATTCTTTTGCATGGCTGTCTTTCTTACTTTCTAAAGCTCAGAATATCAGCATCTGAGATACTTTTTCTGAAGAAAGTATTTAGGAAAACAGGTTCCCATTAGAGCCAAGTCCCTATCTACAACATCACTCTGTATCGCTTTCCTTGTTCTTATGCCTATGTAACATCAAGCTCCTTTTTAATAACTTATTCTTTTCTCCCTCTCTAGGGTAGAAGCTTCTCTCTGACTTTATCACAAATCTAGGACAATAATTTGGCAATAGTTGGCACTCAGAATGTGTTAAATAAATAAATGAGTGCATTCTCACACTAGTATAATGATTTTTAAAATATTTAACTTTCTTTGGATTAAAAATAATTCATTTTAGTTAGAAAAAGATAGTTTTTCTTGCGTTATTTATCTTTTTTCTATAACCTACAGTTATCATTAGCCTGTTTTTTATTTAAAAAAATTAATTTGGGGCCTCTTAGGTGGCCATGGAGTCTCAGTGGTATCACCGCTGCAAGCGAGTTAGTTCCTTGGCCAGGGAGGTGATCCACATGGTACAGAAGAACTCTCCTGTCTCACCCTTTGCTCCACTCAGCAGTGTATTTCAGTAAATCTGCCTGTTTTGCTACCCACTCTGTTCTGGTGAATCCTCCCACACATGCCCACCTCACCTCTGGGGCGAACACCCCAGTTTTTCAGGGGTACAAAAATTAATTTAAATAATTGATTTGTCTTAAAGACACTACTCTTTGACATGCTTGTGGAAAATATTTTTTAATCAATGTGTTTGCAAATTGATTTTGTTTCTGTTTTCCTTGGGCAGAAAGAAGTTCTAATTTTACAAACAGTCAAATGTAATTTTTTTTTTAAGTTTTGTGTTTATTTATGAATACAAGAGCTGGAGTACAGACCAGAGATGTGGGCAGAGAGGTGAGTGGATCCACCAGAAACAGAGTGGGAATCAAAACAGGCAGATGTACTGAAATACACTGCTGAGTGGAACAGCAGGTGAGACTGGAAAGGTCTGCTGTGCCATGTGGGTCACCTCCCTGCCTGGGTATTGAATTTGTGCTGCAGTGGCTGTGGATAGCTTCATAGTGATGTATCTTTGTGCCATAAAGGAAGCCCCAAATATAATATTTTTCTTATTGGTTTGTTTAATTACAAACTGCATTAAGTAGCAGTTAAGCAGGGCTTTTTGGGATGGTGATTAGTTTACTTAGAATCTGTGACTTTTAGGTGCTAAATACCAAGTTCAAGTTTCTCAGTCACATTTCCTTCCCCCCCAGATAACGGCAATAAATACATCACAAAATTGTTAGAATTAAATGAAATTAGCAATGCAAAGTGACTCTGGGTGTGTGCATTTTGAAAGCCATCTAAGTAAGAATGGTTAGGAACTATTTTTTTGCTGAGTCCTTTCCTGATGTATCAGTAGTACCATTTTTTTTTCCAAATATCTTTTTTTTTTTTTTTACTTCAGGAAACTTCTTTTGGTGAATCAAACAACTCATTTTATAGTTATTTTAAAGATTTATTTCTGCGTATGAGAATTGGGATGTAGACCAAAGGTGTAGGGTGACAGGATTCACCAGAGACCATGTAGGTAGCAGAATAGGAAGATCCACTGAGATACACTGCTGAGGGGAGCAGTGGGGGGAGACCGGAGAGGTCTGTGTCACGTGGATTAGCTCCTTGGCCGAGGATCAAACTCATGCCGCAGTTGCTGGCGATAGCTTCATAATGCTAAAACTTAACCACTTGAGCCACCAAGGAGGCCCCAAATAACTCAGTTTAACGTCTTAAGGTCAATTTGGGGTTTTGGGTAAGCCAGCGATCACCTTGAGCAGTCCTCTAAGTATCAGCCTGAAGGCTGAGAGCAGATGCCTATGGGACAGTATAGGGCGGGCTGCGGGGCCGGGGTGGGAGGAGCCTCGCCTCCGCCCTGCCGGGCCCCGCTCCGCCCCTCTACCCCCAGGTTCCTGTGAATCCCTGACGGCTCTAGCGGCTCTAAGGACTCTGCGGACCTTGCCTGTCAGGTCTCCACCGCTTATCTGACTTCTATCCGCGGGACCCGAACGTGAGTGCGAGCCCCTCCCTGCTTCAGGGTGGGTGTGGCGGGGACCCCGAAACCCATCGATCCTCTAGGGGAGGTGTAGAGTTCCGGCTGGGAGAATCTGGGCCCGCAGGCTTCGCAGGGCTGTGCCAGCTTGGCCTTAGCGTTGGAAGTGCACCCTGGGCTCCGATCGATCGGCCGGGGCCAAGCGGAATGCCCTGGGTCAGCTCTGCTTAACAGATCCGTGGCCTGGCGAGGCCCAGGGCTGGCCGACACATAGGGGAGGAACTAGAGTTTCGGGTTCGTTTCTGGGCCGCAAAGCGTCTCCTGGGCCTGACACTGGTTCACCTGGGAGGGCGGTGTTCGGGATCGGCCATCCTCCCCGCCCCCCGGGTGGAGCCCGCGGTCAGGGGGAAGGTGACACGCCTCGAAATCGCTGCATCGCCAAGCGGGAGAGGTAAAAGATCTCGCCACGCTCTGGGTGATGTGACTGTCCAGCGGATCACCGCGCATTACAGAGCTGCTGAGGGTTCGGCCAGAAGCTGCTAGGTGGGGAGGGAAAAGGTGACTTGTGTTTTCGGAGCAAACAGGAGTTGTGAGAAACCTTTGCTAGCAGCTCCTGTTCCGGCTCAGCTTAGAAGAAATTCGTGTCTTAATGTTTTGGGTTTACTACAGCTAGGGGCGTGGAGGAAGTGCGGTTATGTTCGTTTTGTAGTACTTGAATCTATGCGTGGAGTAACAAACCAACCCTTCACGTTGCTCTTGATGATGATTCATAATTTTCCCTTGTCCTTGGAGTTAATTTTCCTGACTGCGTGTATAACGGATAATCAAGTAGAAGGAAGGACAAGATAGAGTATAGCAATTACTGATGGCAATGCTCTACAAACACTACTAGGTAATTATGATGTGTGCTAGTTTATTTTGTACTCACAACCACAACTACAAGTGGTATTGTAATTTTTTATACTGGAGGAAAAAGGATTGATTAACTTACCAAATTACACAAGTGATATTATTAGGGTTAGAATTCAGGTTTAAGACTTCAATGTTTAATGGCTTAATGTTTACTTTACTCTTCAAGGTAAGACAGATACCTAGATTTCAAATCTGCTTTGGCACTTGTTATCTGTAGGACCTTGTTTAGATTACTTAAACTCTGTATGCCTATTTCTGCATTTGTAAAATGGATATATAATAACTCCTGTCTGTAAAACAAGGCTGTTAGGAGGAATAAATAAGATCACATTTGTAATATATTCAGCTGTCTTGCACTTAGTGGTAGACTACATATAGCTACATATATTGCTGTTATTATTAATTAGGGTCAGCAAACTGCAGCTCTGCATTCTGCCAGTCAGGGCCAAAGAAAAACTGTGCAGACCAGAGCCTAGGTAGAGAGAAGAAAGAAAGAATAAGAAAAGAAAGGAAATAAAACAGATGCCATCAATATCTCAGGGCAGTTATAATGACAGCAATAGATTAATCTGTTAATAGATTAGTCACTTTTGGACTTTGTAAGAATGTTTCATTTGTTTATAAATAATTAAAATTTTATTTTTGCATACAAGAACTGGGTGGTAGGCCAAAAGTGCAAGGGTGGTAGGTGAGAGGATCCACCAGGGACAGAGGGGAGCAGATCAGGCAGATGTACTGAAATACACTTGTGGGGAGCATTGGGCAGGTGAGGGGAGGTCCACCATCTCTCTGGCCTGGGATCAAACTCATGCTGCAGTGGCTACAGATAGCTTCATAGTGCTGTGGTTTAACCCACTGCACCACCAGGGAGGGCCCACTTTAAGGTGGATTTTAACAAGGACTAAAATGTCACTTTCCTTAGTGGGACTCTAAGTTTGGAGTCCAAACTTGGGCAGTCCTTTAATGTACCCACTAATACTTTTACCCTACACTTGTTTCTTCCTTCCTAGCAATATAGTCCCATCTTGTTTTTACTTATAAAGATTATTAGTTAGGTTAAAGTCCAAATAATTAGGTAGGATATTTGGCAAAAGACTTAATGAAAATCGGTCCTCCCTGGTGGCACAGCGGGTTAAAGCACAGCACTGAGAATCTAAAGCCGCTTCCGCATGAGTTTGATTCCCGCCTACCCCGGAGGTGACCACATGGCGCCCGCTGCTCCCCTCAGCAGTGTACTTCGTGGATCTGCCTGTTCTCCTCCCCAGCCGCCCCTGAGCCTCTGGCCTGTACCTCAGCTCTGTATGCACAAATAAATAAATCTTAAAAAAAAAAAAGACTTATGAAAATGTTGATTGGGAAAAAGGTTTAAATTAGTATCTAAAAATAAAATATCATGATTTATTTTGCTACATTATTTAACTTTCTGATATATGATAATAAAAAACAGATATACAATTATGTATACATTTTGATAAGATTATGAAAGCTACATTGACGTCAATGTTGACTACAATGTATCAGAAGAAATGGAAGTGTTAGACTTTTTTTGAGTCTTGTTTCACAACAGCATACTTTAATTTTATAATAGTTTATTTTTACATATTTTTGTACATTTTTCCATCTCAGTTGCAATCCCCTTGGGTGTCCCATCACCAAATCACCCATGTGCCATCACCATAGTCCAGTGCATTTCCTTCCCCCCACTGTTTTTGATCCCATTCCCCACTCCACCCCCACAAAATGTCTCTGGTATATAGCTGTTCATCATTATCATCATTTTCTCGCCTGTTCCATTATACTCCTGCTATGAGAGAAACCATCCAGTATTTTTCCTTTTCTTTCTGGCTTATCTCACTAAGCATGATCTTTTCCAGCTCCATCCAAGTTGCAAAAGACATGTGTTTCTC